TCTTCCTTCATCAAAGGAAGATTATTGCACAATAAACAATGTCACTAAATTGCACAGGAAGCATTTATTGAAACAGTGTATCCCTTGCTGTGTATATAGTTGTTCTTGTTAGGTGCTATCCAGTTAGTACCGATTTACAGCAACCCTATGCACAACAGAATGAAACACTGCCTAGTCTTGGGTCAACCTCACAATCATTATGCCTGAGCCCATCCCTGCTGTCACTGTGCCAACCCATCTCATTGGGGATCTTCCTCTTTTTCTATGACCCTCCACTTTACCAAACATGATATCCTTCTCTAGTGGCCGGTGCCTCCTGATAACATGTCCAAAGTTTGAGAGATGAAGTTTGGCCATCATGGCTTCCAAGGAGCACTTTGAGTGTACTTCTTCCAACACAGATCTGTTTGTTCTTTTGACTGCCCATGGTACTTTTTCTATTTTCCTCCAACACCATAACTCAAATGCATCAATTCTTCTACAGTCTTCCTTATTCACTGTCCAACTTTTGCATGCATATGAGGTTATTGGAAATACCATGGCTTGAGTCAGGCACACCTTAGTCCTCAAACTGACATCTTAGCTCTTGAACACTTTTTAAAAAAAATCTTCTTGAACACTTTTACAAGGTCTTGTGAAGCAGATCTGCCTAATGCAATACATCATTTGATTTTTTGACTACTACTTCTATAAGTGTTGATGGCTGATCCAAGAAAAAATGGAGTCTTTGACAACGTCAATTTTTTCTCCATTTATATGGATGTTGTTTATTGGTGCAGTGGTGAGGAGTTTTCTTTACATTGAGGTGCAGCCTATACAGAAGGCTGTGGTCTTTGATCTTCATCAGTAAGTATTTTAAGTCCTCTTTCAGCAAGCAAAGTTGTATCATCTACATATCACAGGTTGTTAATGAGTCTTCCTCCAGTCCTGATACCATGTTTTTCTTCATATAATCTTGGTTCTTGGATTATTTGCTCACCATACAGATTGAATAGATATATGGTGAAAGAATACAACCCTGGCACACATGTTTCCTAACTTTAAACCAATCAGTGTTCCCTTGTTCTGTTCTAATAACTGACTCTTGGTCTACGTACAGGTTCCACATGAGCACAATAAAGTATTCTGGAATACTCGTACTTCGCAATGTTGTCCGTAGCTTGTCATGATCCACACAATCGAAAGCCTTTGCTTATTCAGTAAAGCACAAGTAAACACCTTTCTGGTATTCTTGATATCAGCAATGATATCCCTCATTCCACGACTTCTTCTGAAACTGGCTTGAACCTCTGGAAGTCCTCTGTCAATGTATGTTTGCAGCCATTTTTGTATTAACTTTAGTAAACCTTTACTGGTGTAGGATATCAATGATATTGACCAATGATTTCTGCATTCCATTGGGTCACCTGTCTTTGGAATAGGCACAAATATGGATCTCTTCCAGTCAGTTGGCCAGGTAGTTGTCTTCCAAATTTCTTGGCACAGATGAGTAAGTGCCTCCATGCTTTATCAGTTTGTTGAAAGATTTCAATTTGTAATCCATCAATTCCCAGTGCCTTGTTTTTTGCCAATGGCTTCAATGCACCTTGGACTTCTTCCTTCAGTGTCATTGGTTCTTTTTTTTTTTCTTAAATGATTTATTGTGAATTATGTGATAGTATACATGGGAGAACCTTAGTTTTACATTCATTCTATCGTATATTATCTCTCATTGCCATGGTTACAATCCCCTCCATGCAATCCTTCCCCCCATACCCCCCAGGTCTTCAGCACACAGTTGCTCTCCCTCTCTGGATCTAAAGTCTCCAGCTGCTCCATCGCTCCACATCATCATCTCTGCCTCCATTTCAGGCATCAGTGCTTCTCTGGGTAGGGTCCCGCTCTCTGCTCTTTTCCCTTGATGGTCCTAGGGACCTCCGCTCCTAGACTGAAAAGTTAATCACTCCCCTCCTTGCTATAAAACATCTACCTTTACATTTCCAACCCTCACAATCAGTCCTGATAACAATTATTCAAAATTGTATCACAAGAGACCCGTCTGCATTTCATTGCATCAACTCCGCCTAGACAGATTGAATACTACTCACTGGAGATTCTACCTTCCTCCATGCCCTCTGGATCTAGGTTCCCTCTTGAAAGCTTGTAAGCCAGCCACTTCTTGCCTTTGTAGACCCCCATCCCTCATTTTGGGTAGCCAATGTCCAAGTTGCCCATCCCTGTCTACTCTGTGTGTGGAGGGGGTGGGAATGATTCTTGCTGTAAGGACTTGTTCCCTTTTTTTTGAGCTACTGCTTCCATAGGTGTAGGTCATGTTCATCAAATTGTATGAGGATTTTTTTTTTTTTCCTCTTCTTTTTACTTCTGGTTGAGCTCCGATCATCCAGTCATTGAAGCCAGGACAAGTAGGTATTATCTGCAAGTGTGGGTGTTCTTATGCATATGCCCTCTCTTCTTATCAGCTGGACACTTCACTCTCCACTCTAGTCCATGTCATTGGTTCTTGATCATATGCTACCTCTTGAAATGGTTGAGCAGTGACCGTTTCTCTTTGGCACAGTGACTCTGTGTTTTCCCTCCATCTTCTTTGATGCTTTTTTCATCATTAAATCCTTCAGTGTTTCAAGTTGAGGCTTGAATTTTTTTTTTCAGTTTCCTCAGCTTGAGAAATGCTGAGTGTGTTCTTCCCTTTGGTAAAACATAATTTATTTTAAAGGGGATAGGCTTACCCCAGGCGGGCCAACAGACCCTGAGTAGAGGACCCTGCTAAGCTCCTGGTACACAAGAGTAGAGATAATAAATGGGCATTACTTGAACCCATTGCATTTGGGTATTTGTTACACAGCAGTTAGCATGTCAGCACATCCCCACCCTCGTTTCCAGGTGCTTTTGTGGCCTGGTGGGGCTGTGACTGCTGGATGGCTTGTTGTCCTTCAGGGTTGAATTTCTGGAGGGGTCATCATTGAGGTGGGATCACAGGGTCATGCCCAGCACATGAACTGCAACCTGCTGCTGAACCACCTTGGTGCACTGATGGCTTCTCCAGCAGGCAACAGGTGGTTTGTGGTTTCTGTTATTAGAGCAGAGCAGAGCCGTGTGGTGACTTGTCATCCTCAGCCTCTTCTCAGTGATGCCGCCATCTCTGCTTCCTGAACATGGATCCTGGTGTACTTCAGTTCACATCAAGGCACCAAGAAGGAATTACTTCCAGGAGTCCTGGAGCATAGGTATCTACCTTGTCCCAGCTGTACGCCTTTCTAAACGAGGTGTTTCATGAAAGCCCTGGTGAGCCACAAGCCACTCAACTGCACAGCAACTCTGGTGGAAAAAAGGACTCAGCAGTGAATATGCTGGAATCATTCACAAAACACATGCTTACACAAGAATCAGAATCCTGGAGATGAGACACTTAATAGTGTGGCATAATTTGGAAAAGGAGGTTGAGAATGGTTGCACAGTTTGAAGAACATTTTTCCAAATTGTTCATAAAGAAATTGTTCAATTTGTGCATGCTATTCTGTGTATGTGGTGCTGTAGGATAAGTAAGCACTCAACCACAAGGTTGATTTGAACTGCAAGGTCGCAGTTCAAGCCCACCGGTTGCATCCTTGGAAACCCTACACAGGATCGCTGAATCAGAATTGACTTGAAGTCACTTAACAACAATAACAACAAAAAACAAAAAACTCAGAGCCAGAAGCCAACAGCAGAAGCTCCCTGTGGGCTTTAACTCTCCAGGTCCTCCCCATGCAGGTTGTCTGCCTCCCTGGTCATCGCTAACTCCCCAGGGAGATATGTGAATAGAGGAAGCATGTCACCATTTGAAAGTTGGGCAAATCTGCTACAAAAGACCTCTTTAAAATGTTAAAGAGCAAAGATGTCACTTTGTGGTCTAAGGTACACCTGCCCTGAGCCATGGTATTTTCAGTCACCTCACATACATGTGAAAGCTGGGCACTGAATACTTAGACTGGAGAAGACTGGTGCCTTTGAATGGTGTTAACAAAGAAGACTGAAATTAGCATGGTCTGCTAGAAAAAGGAATCAGTCTGTCTTGGAAGGAGGAAACAAGACAAGGCTTTGTCTCATGTGCTTTGGATGTGTCATCTGGAAGGAGGACCAGTCCCTAGAGAAGGACATCATGCTTGGTAAAGCAGAGGGTCAGCAAAAAAGTGGAAGACCTTCCATAAAATAAGCTGACACAGTGGCTGCAACAGTGGAATCAAGCATCACAACGATGGTGCAGGACCAGGCAGTGTTTCGGTCTGTTGTACTTAGGGTTGCTATGAGTCCGAATTGACTCAATGAAACCTACCAACAACCAGAATTACAAAGGAAATGCTTGTTTAATTCATAATGCAGAGAAACCCCTTCCCCTACCCAATTCCCAGATGAAGAAGGCACAGTGCTCCCTCTCCAGACACGACCTGGCATATGGTGTGTGCCCTTGGTGGCTCAACTTGGATATGCTCAGGGATGGGACAGATGGGCATCCCAGTGGCCCTGGGGCATGTTCGGTGACCATCAATTTGGGCAGACGAGCAACATGTGCAAAGCTAAGGTGAGCAGTCTCATGGCTGTTGATGGGGGACTTGGTGGAACCCTAGTTTCTCTTCCTGTCTCCTCAACATGAGAGGGGGTTCAGGAGGTCTCAGTCCATCGGACATGTGGGAACCAGCACTGCTGAAGCCGCTGGAGTCCTTCGTCCCTGGAAGCATGGGTGGGTCACTGTCCCCTTTCTGTTTAGCTATTCATGCCATTAGTTGTCACTGAGTTGATTCTGACTCATAGCGACCCTGTGTGTGCAGAATAGAACTCCATAGAATTTTAGAGGAGATCACCAAGCCTTTCTTCCAAGGCATCTCTGGAAGGGTTTGAACCACCAACCTTTCTGCTAGTGTTCCAGCGATGGACCGTGTATGCCTGTCTCTACAGTTTAGTGAACACGTGGCTTTGTGTTTCTGTTTTTTTCTGAGATCCTAAGTCTTGTTTTCTTCTTCCAGGCTTATTCTAGCAGCCAACAGAGATGAATTCTACCACAGGCCATCCAAAGTAGCTGACTTTTGGGGGAACAACAATGAGATCCTCAGTGGTAAGTCATGCTGCCCTTCATCATTATCAGGACTGTGCTACTCGATGCAGCCAGCACCTGGTCTGGAGTGCAAACTCAAACCATGAGGCAATTGTGTCTTTCTTATGGGACATGCAGAGTATGTGAGTGGACACAGACAAGTTGCCTCTTTGTGTTAGACTGGATTCTTTAGAGGTTTCTCTAGGAAATGGCTCACACAGTTGTAGAGGTGGGCATGTTCCACCTGAAGGCTTCTCCTGACCCACATAACTACAGGGGCTAATGAACCCAAGATTGGCAGGTCATACTGCAGACTGTTGACAATTCCCAGGACCAGCAGGTAGTACAGCAGGCTGCTAACTCAAGTCTAAATAACTAGAGGTAAAATGATGAGCCAGATGCAGGATCCAGACCCAGTAAAAAACAAACAAACTTTTCTAGAGCTTTGACATATACTGGAAACAGGCCACACCCCCAAGGAAACCCTCCTTCAGTTGATTGACTGCTCATAGCAGATGTCATCATGAAAGTGATTACATTATTTTATATTTCATCATGAGGGATGACTCTATCTTTTTGTTTTTCCCCTTAACTTTTTGTTGTGAATTGAATGAAGGTTTATAGGCAAGATCATCAGCGTTACATTCAACAAATTATACACTTTGTGTCATCTCAATGATTGCAATCCCTTCCATGCAACAATTATCCTGCTTCCTTCCTGTGGTTTCTAGTTCCTTTCCACCCACCGTCCCATTCCTTCTCAACTTTGTCCTTAGGTAAATGTTGCCCTTTTGATTTTGAATGATTGGCCATTCCATGGTGAGCATACCTTACTACGATGCTGTTGTCCCCCTTATATATCTATCTACTTTTGGCTGAAAATTGGACCACGAGGATGAGTTCCTTTCCAGATCTGAAGGGTGGTAGAGGGCCATAGTGTCAGATTCCTCTAGTCTTAGTCTCTTTCTGATCAGTAAATCCAATCTTTTTAAAAATAATTTTGTGTTTTCCATATTTTTTGCCACACTATGCAAGACCTTCTGAGGTGATCCCTTTCAGAACAGTTGATAGATGGGCACCATCCAGTTCTTCTGGTCTCAGAGTCATGGAGACTGAAGTTCACATGTTCCATTACTCTATTTGGACTAATTGATTCTAAACCTTTTCAATTTTCTTCTTTCTTTCTTCTGCACAGGGAGAGACCAATAGCTTTACTTTAGACAGCTGCTTATGATAAGCTTTTAAGATCCAAGATCCTAGATGCTACTAACCAAAGTAGGCTGTAGAACATTGTCTTTGTGGACTGTGTTAATGTCAGTTAACCATGGTGTTCCCTGAGACTAACTATGGGATTACTACATTTTAACTGTCAAGCCACTGAGAATCTTGACCTAGCCTTAACTATCACAGCTGGGGTGGCTGCACCAACTTCAGGCATCCTCCAAATGGTCCATCAAGTACAGTCCACATGGTTTCCCAGGTCACCTGACTTTGGAGACCTTCAATGAAGAAAGGGACCCGTCACAACAGAACCACTGGAAATAAAAAGGATAATAGCAATTTAATGAAAAATTGTACTCCAACCAATTTGAAAATCTAGAAGAAATAGACAAATTTCTAGAAACACACAACATACCTAAACTAACACAGGTTGAAGTAGAAAACTTGAGCAGGCCTATAACAAGAAGAAATTGATGAAGTCATTAAAACAATCCCAACTAAAAATGTCCAGATTCAGATGATTTTACTGGTAAATTCTATCAAACAGAGAAGAGCTGATACCAGTTCTACTCAAATGATTCCGTAATATAGAAGAGGATAGGAAAATCCCCAAATTCATTTTATGAAACAAGCATCATCTAATATCAAAACAAGGCAAAGATGCCACTAAGAAAGAAAATTATAGACCAGTATCCCTCATAAATATAGATGCAACAATTCTCAACAAAACCCTAGCCAATAGGATTCAACAATATATCAAAAATAATATATCATGGCCAAGTGGAATTCATACTAGATATTCAGGGATCTTGGCCTCCAAGGAGCACTCTGGTTGTACTTCTTCCAAAACAGATCTATTGGTTCTTTTG